AATATTATTATATGAAATTTTATTTAAATATTTTAAATATTAAAAAAAATAGATCATAACTAAATTTATGCTATTTTAAGCTAAAATTGTTATACGAACTCTACAGCTTAAGGGATAGAGTATTTGGATCTTACTTATATATGTATTTTTTTTTTCATCAGGATTTAGTTTTTAGTGTGAGTATAATGATTACTTGTTAAAAGTTTTGAAACTTATATAGTATTTGAATCTTACTTATATATGTATTTTTTTTTTATTGGGAATTAGTTTTTAGTATGAGTATGATTATTCGTCGAAATGTCTGAACCTTATAAAATATTTGAATCTTACTTATATATGTATTTTTTTTTCATTGAGAATTGGTTTTAGCGTGAGTATAATAATTATTCGTTAAAAGGTCTGAACCTTATAGAGTATTTGAATCTTATTTATATATGTATTTTTTTTTCATCAGGATTTAGTTTTTAGCATGTGTATGATAATTATTTATTGAAAGTTTTGAACCTTATAGAATATTTGAATTTTACTTATATATGTATTTTTTTTTTTCATCGGGAATTGGGTTTTAGTGTAAGTATGATTATTCATTGAAATGTCTAATTCTTATAGAATATTTGAATCTTACTTATATATGTATTTTTTTTTTTATCAGGAATTGGTTTTAGCATAAGTATGATTATTATTCATTGAAAGATCTAAATCTTATAGATATTTGAATCTTACTTAAATATGTATTTTTTTTCATTGGGATTTAGTTTTTTAGTGTGAGTATGATGTTTATTTGTTGAAATGTCTAAACTTTATAGAATATTTGAATCTTACTTATATGTATTTTTTTTTCATTGGGATTTAGTTTTTAGCATGAGTATGATAATTATTCATTGAAAGTTTTGAACCTTATAGAATATTTGAATCTTACTTATATATATATATTTTTTTTTTATCAGGAATTAGTTTTTAGTATAAGTATGATGATTTTTCATTGAAAGTTTCGAAACTTATAAAATATCTGAATCTTACTTATATATGTATTTTTTTTTTATCAGGATTTAGTTTTTAGCGTGAGTATGATTATTCGTTGAAATGTCTGAACCTTATAGAATATTTGATTCTTACTTATATATGTATTTTTTTTTTTCATCAGAAATTGGTTTTAGCGTGAGTATGATGATTATTTGTTAAAAGGTCTGAACCTTATAGAGTATTTGAATCTTATCTATATATGTATTTTTTTTTTATCGGGAATTAGTTTAACGTGAGTATGATGATTATTCATTAAAAGGTCTAAATCTTATAGAATATCTGAATATTATTTATGTGTGTATTTTTTTTTTATCGGGAATTGGTTTTGTAGTAAGAGTGGTTATTATTAATTAAAGTTTTGAATTTCTTAATGAATAACCAATTTTTTTAATGGCATTAACTTACAATTATTAATTAAAGTTTTTAAAGCAAAATTTATGAATACAGGAATTTATTTTTTTAATTGTTTTGGCATAATTTTAGTATGATTATTATTAAAGCATTTTAGAATAAACATTTAAATTGTATTATTTTTTGGTAGTATTTAAAGGATGTTATTTTAATATTAAATAAAGCTATATTATTTAATCAAGATACTATAATAAAGTCTGTATATTTAAATAATATTGATTTTTCTATGTTAATCCAACAAGCAATTGATATCAAGCTATTAAGATTTGTGAATATTACACTGTATAAAAATACTGTTATAACATGTTATAAGGTAAAAGGATTGTAATATGTAAATTAAAGTTACTGTATATTGTATACAGTATAGTACACAGGTTCTTACTCAAGAACTCCAATTTAATTAATGGAACCATAAGTACTATATGTTACTGTGGTTATATCAATAATCTTCAAAAATAAAAAAATCGTCAGTTAGTTGGTTTAATTAGAAGTATATATATATAGGCTCAAAATTTTAAAAAACGTCATAATAGTTAGGTATATATTACTATATAAGATGACATATAACCAAAGTGATGTGTAAAAATAAATTAAAAAATTGACATAATAATTTAATAAGAATTATGTAATAAAAATAAGTATATAAGTTTATATTAGTATTTATATATAATAAATTAATAGTATATTTTTATACAAATAAAAATTTTATTTTTTATTTTTTTGAATATTAATTTCAATATATAAAACTTTAAATTATTGTATATTATTATTAATTTTATATTTTATTTTGCTTTTAATAATTTTTTTAATAATAATATTTTTTTAGAAACTACACAAATATGATATCAAGAGAAGATTCTTTTATGTTAGTTGATGATTTAAATGAAGAACCAAATTCAAATAATCAAACAAGTACTTCAGGAGTTTTTAGTTGTAGATCTCTAGCTGATCCTCATTTTGAATTTATTGATTCATGTTGGAAATGCAAATATTGCTCATAAACTATTTACTTAATATTATAAATATATATATTTATTTATTTACTTACTTATTTATTTATTTTTGAAATATAATAATTTAAATATTAATATATTTAATTTTTAGTACATCTTATGAAAATAGATATACATCAACATTTTTAAAACATTTAAGAAACAAGCATAAAGAAAAACTTGGAGATACATCAAATTATAATCCTAAAGTATTGTATAATTAAAATTTTAAATTATAATATATCTAAATTATATTTTTTAAAATATCAATTTTATTTTTAGTTTAAAGATGATGAATTTAGAAAAAAAATTATTAAAATAGATTGTAACAGATGATCAAGCATTTACGACATTTAAAATCCCGAATTTCAAGATATGTTAAAATATTTGCGACCTAATCTTCAAATTCCAACAACAACTACAATTAGAAGAGATTTAGATAAATGTTATGATGAAACAAAACAAAAAATTAGTCGAAAATTACAAGTAAATTATTATCTATATCATTTAAATCTTTGTTGGTGAGTTTAAACAACTTTGATTGGCTCAGACCTGCAGAATGTGATATGAGGTGTAATTATCTGAGAATGAAATCTAAATATATTAAAGAAAATATAATTATGATTATATTGAAGTATTATTATGATTATTATGATTATATAGAGATATCAAGGATTTTGAAAAAATTATAATTATATGATAATGATGTAATTATAATATAATAATAACGTGATTATGAATAATTGATTATGTTTAAAAAAACATAAATCTGGGTTTGTGAGTTTAAACAACTTTGATTGGCTCAGATCCACAAAATGTGATATGAGGCATAATTATCTGAGAACGAAATCTAAATATATTAAAGAAAACGTAATTATGATTATATTGAAGTATTATTATAATTATTATGATTATATAGAGATATCAAGGATTTCGGAAAAATTATTTTTTTTTTTTTTTTTTTTTTTTTTTTTTTTTTAATATTTAGGTGACCACTTAGGCCCCTGGCACTTTATTAGTTC